AAAATTATTATGACGGAAACCAAAGTGGCTTTCGGGGTGGTCATTTCAGCAACCGAGGAGGGTACTCTGGATACCGAGGTAGTAATTCTGGATACCGAGGTGGCAACTCAGGTAACAGAAGTGATAGAGGCAGTTTCAATTCGAATTTTTCTAATAGGGGCAGACACAATGCTCAGAACACAGAAAATGTTGAAGATGAGATTAATGCTATAGGTATCTTTTTTAAGTACGTTTCAAGGAACCGATGACGATAATCACAACAACCAATATGCAAATATGTCTAATACAGAAATTGTGAAATTTGTTGTAGATAGTGGAGCAACAAATCATTTAGTAGGGCAAGATTTTCGCAAAAAATATACTAAATGGAAGGAAAGTGTGTCACAAGATAAATGTTGCAAAACAGGGGCAGACATTAGTAACCAAAGTAGAAGGTGATTTGTTTTTGAAAACCAATTCAGGTAACCCCAGAAAAATGAGAAATGCATGGGTTTATGAAAATCTGCTATATAATTTGCGTAAGTGTTAAAAAATTGGAACAGAGTGGACTGGAAGTAATATTCGAAGATGGAAAAGTAAGCGTATTGAAAAACTGTGTTAAATTATTTCAAGGAACTTTATTGGAATCTTGAAGGACATAGTGTAATACCGAGTTCAATACTTACCAGAGACAATGACATGTTAATGCATCGGAAAATGGGTCATTCGTCAAGATATCCAGCACCAGGATTATGTGAAGTATTTTTACAAGGTAAAGAAACCAGATTGAAATTTTTGCAAGAAATTGATGAAGACAAAAAGAATATTGGACATTGTTTCCAGTGACATATGTGGTCAAATAAATCCTGCAACTTATGATGGTATGCGATATTACATTTCATTTATTGTTCATTATTCTGCATTTGTTATTTAATCAAAAATAAAAGTGAGGCTTTAGAAACATTTAGAATTTATGTATCAATGGTTGAAGCAAAATTTAATATGTAAATTTGAAAATCAAGATGTGACAACGGAGGAGAGTATACTTCTCGTGATTTTCAGGATTTTTGTAAAACAACAGGAATATTAATTCAGTATAATGTTGCCAATAACCATGATCAAAATGGGGTTGCTGAGCGCGTTAATCGTTCAATAATGGAAAAAGCTCGATGTTTAATGTTTGATTCGCAGCTTGAAAAATATTTATGGAGTTAAGCTGTTTTAACATCAATATATTTAATTAATAGGACAATGACTAGAGCACTGAATGACAATAGAACTCCAGCTGAAATTTGGCATGGAGAGAAGCCTGATTTTGAGAAAATTAAACTTTTTGGTTGTATAGCATATATTCTTATACCTAAGGAATTAAGAAAATCAAAATTAGATTCACATTGTGAAAAATTAATTAGGATTGGATATGCAAACAATGGATATAGACTCTGGAATAACAATCAAGTCAAGGTTATTCATGGAAGGAATATTGTTTTTGAAGAAACGACAGAATTAAAACAACCAAAAGTTTATATAGATGATAATCCAGAACAACAGGAAAATAAAGAAGAGGAAACTGAACAAGAAATAGATGGAAATAAAGTGGAAGAAAATTTGAGAACGACAGAAAAAGTTGGAAAAGTGGAACAAACAAATGAAATACCAAACATAAGAAGAAGTTCACGAAATAAACAACTATCAAGAAGATTACAAGACTATGATCTTGAAAATGACGAGTTCAATCATTTTGCAGCATTATCAACTGGAAACTTATTAGATGAAATGCCACAGACTTATGCAGCAGATGCTCTAAAAATAGACAAAGTATGGAAAAATGCTGTAAGCGAAGAACTTACAGTGTTGGATGAATGTAATACATGGGAACTAGTATTACCACCTGAAAATGTCGAAATTATTGACTCAAGTTGGGTTTTCTGTGAAAAAGTAGTGGATGGAAAAGTGAAAAAGAAAGCGTGGATTTAAGCAGAGTGCATTCAGTGAAGACGTATTATGCACCTGTATCACGTATGTCCAGTATAAGAATATTGTTCTTTATTCATTGAATATGATTTGCATGTAATTCAATTTGACGTGAAGTCAGCCTTTTTGAATGGAACTTTGAAGGACCCAGTTTTCATGCAACCTCTAGAAGGTTTAGAAGTTAGTAATAAAAATTTAGCGTGTAAATTGAAAAAGTCACTTTATGGTTTACGCCAAGCACCAAAGTGCTGGAATTCATTATTTAATGAATATTTAATGAAGTTGGGTTTTCAAAGATTTAAAAAAGACCCTTGTTTGTATTTTTGTCAACAAATTTTTCTTTTAATCCATTTGATGATTTGATCATATTTTCTGAAACTCAAGAAAATTTGGATTCTATAAAAATGAATTTGGCTAAAAGATTTAAAATGAGAGAGTTAGGAAACATGATGAAACTAAATTTTCTTGGATTAGAAATTGAGCTACGAGGTGATACGGTCTATATTAAACAGACTGATTTGATAAACAAAGGGTTATGTAAATTTGGTATGGATAATTGTAGACCTCATGATCTACCAATGCAGCCTAAACTACAGTTAAAAAACATTAACAAAACATCAAATAAATGAGAGTTTTACTTACAAGGAATTGATAGGCTCACTGATGTATATAATGTTAAGCTCTAGGCCGGATTTGAGTTTTTCAGTAAAGTATTTCAGTCAATTTCAGGATTGTTTTGATATTGAACATTAGAATCATCCTAAACATATTTTGCGATATTTGAAGCAAACTAAAGATTACGATTTGAAATTTTCAAAATCAAAGGATTCTAATGTTCAGTCAAGTGCATATTATGTAGATGCTGATTTCGCAAATGAAATTACAGACAGGAAAAGTATTTCTGGATTTGTGATTAAAATGAATCAAAATATTATTGATTCGGAAACTAAAAAACAAAGTATTGTTGCGCTTTCAAGTGCCGAATCAGAATACATCGCATTGTCATCATGTATAAGTGACTGTTTGTTTTTGGGACAATTATGTTCAGAGATTTTAAATAAATAGTTATTTATGCAACAAGTGTGTAAAGTGAACCTTTTTTCACGAATGTAAATTTTGACAAACACATGAGTGAAAAAAGGTGCTTTACGCACGTATTGCATACAAATTTTTTTCTACTACCAATCAAATATGTGTGAAAAAATACAAATACTTTACGAACTAGTGCGTAAAGTATTTTCACTTTACGCACTAGTGAGCAAGTGTGAAAAAAGGTTTTCAAACGAGTTTTTTACAATGCTTTTCCTACAACTGCAAAATAAAACAACCAAATATGTAATTTTCATTTGTTAGAAAACTTGAAGCGTGTGAAAAACTTTTTCGCACGCTGTGCGAAAAACTCTAATTTCAGAGGTTGCCTAGCGTGCGAAAAACTCCATTTTCAGAGGCAGTCGTAGGAAAAATATTTTTCCTATATGTGTATATGAGGACAATCAAGCATGTATCAGAATGGCTTCGACACTGGAAACTAGACGTACAAACCCAACCATATCGATGTTTGACATTATTTGGAAGAGTTTGTGTGAATCAGTAGAAAATTGTATTGAAATATTTATCAACAAATGATCAACCAGCAGATATGTTAACTGAAGCTTTGACTACTACAAAGTTTGTAATGCTTAGAGAGTGTCTGAATATTGTTAATACCACATGTTAAAATTTATTTTAAAATAAGTTGATCATTGATTGGTTAGGTTATGTGTATTTTTATTTTCCTTTTTATTTTTGATAATACAGAATTGGGTACAGAATTGAGAGGGAGTATTATAGTTTGTAATCAAGTTCTTCTATTACACCCTTGTATATGGGCAATTCTGTTTCTGTAGAAAATAATACACCTGTTATGTCATGTGTGTCATTGGGCTTGCTACTTTAATTCAGGAAAAGTGAATAAAAAGTTAACGAAAAAGTTTAGATCTGTTGTTTGATTGTAATCAGGAAGCTGCGTAGAGTTGATTAAACTTGAAAATGTACCAAGAACGGACAGCAAAATTAATTGAAGCTTTGAACACTATAAAGCATAAGTATCTGATCATTTTATCTTCAATTCAGTGGAAGAAATACGTACTGGAAATAACTGAAAATCCATTTATGTAGGTATACTCGTTTTTCTGTTTGCCTGTTCATCCTAACTTAAAATTTCTTATAAACCCACCTGATTTTTTATGTGTCTAGCTTGTATCGACTTCTCATCGACTCTGATTATTATTTAGTGAGAAGCTAGAGGTAAACTTTTATGAAACCTCCATCATTTGGGAATTCGTTTCTAAGTTTCTAACTAAACTAACAAAAATTCTATCTTGTCCTTAATTTACTGAACAAGTTTCAACAATATTTAGCAAAACACTTAATCTAAAAGTTAAAACAAGTAAACGTTCATAACAAACGGCAAATGTTTTAGGAAAGCAGCAGCATATAACGACGCCGCGACCGTTAATTTCATGAAGAAACTATTTTCTCGTGCTGCATTTCTCGCCATATTTATGAACTTTCTGGTCGCTATTTCAGGCCTTTAATTACTTCGTGTAACTTAATCTGATAAAATGTTAAACGACGCAATGAAATGCCTCTCAGACGCTTTGCTGGAATTTTATTGGCTTTTAATAGCATAATTTGGAGGAGGCTGATATAGGATTGTCCTTTTTAGAATGGTTTTAAAAAATCTCTGCAATGAGTTAAAAAGTTTACACAAATTACAATGGGTATTTGCCAAGTAAGACAACCATAAATTGTAAAAGACAAATTACTGCTTTTCAACCCTACTCTTTTTGTGCCTTTTAAGGTACCTACCGAAGTCGCAAAGATTCGGAAATTATCTCGTTAATTAGAAAATTACCATTAAAAGAACTTTCCGTTCCTCGCGGCGTCTAGCTGGAAATATATTTTATTCTTAATGGATTACGAAAAAGATTAGAGTCTGGAACGTAAATTGCTTACGCCATCCACAGAGAGTATTTTCTTCTAATAACCAAAGTAAATCTACTTACGTTTGCAAGCTTTTCGATGAGTAATCGATTTGGTAGGATCTCTGTAGAAACCTTCTCTACAATAGTGACAATGTCTTCCAGCGGTATAGTGACGACATTTCAAACAAACTCCACCTGAAGTTCTAGCAGACAATTTGTAGAGTTCCATATTGAATCTACATCTTCTAGCGTGTTGGTTGCATTCGCAAGCTGCAAAAAGAAAAAGGAAATTAATCCCTTGCCATAAAGTTAAGACGAGTTGTTTGTTCTAACACCACCCACAGACAAGATAAACGATAGAGTTTATAGGAAACTTTGCTAAACGTCCATCTGCAATTTAATTCGATTGCCAAGCGTAAATTTGCGAGGTTTTAGCGAAGCATTTTGGCTGGATGCTCTAAATTCTTGGGCTACACTAAAGTTAGTTTAACCACTATGACCTGAAAGGATATTACTCGACTACTGGATAATTTGAAATTGAAATACAACATTTTGGAAAAAAATTGTCTATATTTTTTTCGAATAGGTGATAATTTTTTTTTTTTAATTTATTTTATCTTTTAGTATTTGTAATGTGTAAATGTTTCTCACTCAAAAGAGCACAATGTATGCAAAATAAATATTTTCTCAGTTATTTTCTTATATTATACCACTTTTTTGCTCTCACTATACCTTGTTCGTAGTATTATTATTATAATGGATAACTATATACAAAACTTTGAAACCAATGAAATAGAAACTCACCTTGCTCAAAATTTTAATCAGTGCCAAAACTTACTCATAAAAAATCAAAATTTAAATTTCAAGATTTTACATCAAAACATTAGGAGTATAAACAAAAACTTTGATGAGTTTTGGTTAACCATTCAACAAATTTCAACAGATTTCCAATGCATTGTTTTGACAGAAACATTTCAAATTCTCGACTTATCAATTCATAAACTAAGCGGGTATGAATTAATTTATAATGAGGGTGATTTAAATTCTCACGATGGAGTTATAGTTTATTTGAAAGATAATATACCATATAATTATAAAATTGAAAAAATTGGTATGCAGAGGAGTATTTTGTTGTCACTTAAGTTTTTTGGATTATCCATAGATATTACAGGAATTTATAGATCACCTTCCACATGCGAAAAAGAGTTTGTTGAATGTTTTTCGAGATATATTAGGAATTCCAGTAAAAATAGTGACTTACACTTCATTTTAGGAGATATGAATATAGATATTTTAGGTAATTATCAAGAAAAAGAAGACTATTTGAACAGTTTATATGAAGAAGGTTTCATGTCCACTATAAATATAGGCACTAGACAGCAAAATGGTATTTTGAGCTCTATAGACCATATATTTTTGAGAAGGAAACCTCACATACACTGTTCGAAAACTATACCTGTTGTATTCGAATCAAATGTCACAGATCATTATATAACATTTTTACAATTGGTTTTTTCAGACAAGACTAGAACAAAGGACGAGCAACTGCAAAGAACTAAAACATTTTTCCATCGGAAAAAATTTATTGAAAACATTAAACACGAAACATGGGAGGATGTATACCAAGAACAAAATGTAAACATTAGTACAGATAACTTTATTAATACGATTAAAAAAAACATAGAAAATTACACAAAAGTCTCCAAAATAAATTTTACCTTGAAAAAAGAGTCATGGATAACTTTTGGATTAATTAGATCTATCAAAACAAAAAATAAACTCTTTCAAAAATATTTAAAAGACCCAACAGATCAAAATGTCAGAGAATACAAAACCTACAGAAACAAATTGAACTTACTTATTAAAAATACAAAGGCTGAATATTATCAAAAACAAATAAAAAATTATAATTGCTCAAAAGAAATATGGGACACGGTTAATAAAATTTGTGGGAGAAAGAAAAAAACCGAAATAAAAGAACTAAAAAATGAAAATGGAGAAATACTAATGGAAAAGCAACAAATTGCAAATTATTTTGTTAACTATTTTACAAATGTCGGAGAAACATTAGCAAAAAATATAAAAAGATGTACACAACAAAATACTAATGAACCACAATCAAATATAACACAACATATGAATCCTCAACAAGTAAACAATGAACAACAAACAAATAATAATAAAAAGTTTTGTTTAAAGAGAACAAATTGTAAAGAAATAATAGAGACGATAAAAGAATTAAAAAAGAAAAAATCTCCGGGATATGACAAAATCACAGCTGAGTTAATACAATCAGTATCAGAAGATATCGCACAACCTTTAAAATGTATAATTAATAGGTCTTTCAAAGCAGGAATATGTCCAAATTCATTCAAAACAACAATAATAAAGCCTTTGCATAAATCTGGAGACAAAACAAATGTCTCCAACTATCGACCTTTGTCTTTGATAACAAATTTTACTAAAATTTTCGAGAAACTAATAAAAAAACGCTTGACAACTTTTCTGGAAAGTCAGAATATATTGGCTGAAAAACAGTATGGCTTTAGACAAGGAAGATCGACAGAAGACGCAATAGAGAATGTAACAACTCATATTTATAGAGCTTTGGATCGAAGAAAGCCTTCTCTGGCAGTTTTCATCGACCTTTCTAAAGCATTCGATACAGTAGAACATGATATACTCCTAGAACAGATTCGAGCCATTGGAGCAAACGAACCAGCCCACAGGTTATTCAAGGATTATTTATCTGACAGAAGTCAATTTGTAGAAATGGAGAACACAAAAAGTAACAAAAAAACAATAACATGCGGGGTACCACAAGGAACAGTACTGGGCCCAATATTATTCAATATATATGTACACAATCTCTTTAAACAAAATATTGATGGGGAGATAACAACCTACTGTGATGACACGGTGGTTAGGTTTGAAGGAGATGACTGCGACGAAGTTAAACAAAAAGCTGAGAAAGAACTACAAAAAATGTTTCATTATTTTCAAAACATGAGTTTAACTGTAAACTACAGTAAAACTTATTTCATGCCATTTTCGTCATACTCAACAAATTTGCCAAATTTTGAAACCTTAACTATCTTCGATCAAAACCTATGTAAGTGCGAAAAAATCAAAATTAAGAAAATCTTAAAAATTAAATATCTCGGACTTTTTATTGATTGTCATTTACGATGGGACGCCCACACATGTTATGTTACCAAAAAAATTAGATCATTGCTTTACAAAATAAAACACTTGCAAAAATATTTCAAACTATCTCAGCTTAAAATTATATACTCAGCATTAATTGAACCACACATTACTTATGGTATCATAGGATGGGGTGGCGTAACGAACAATTATCTGGCTTGTTTGGAGAAAGTTCAAAAGTGGTGTTTGAAAATAATTCACAAGAGACCATTTCTATATCCTACTGAAGCCTTATATGAAGAATCTAATGTCTTTGATACAAGAAAATTATTTTGTCTTCATCTTATTATTAGACAATATAAAAATAAAGCTAGTCTGGAAACATTGGAACATAGATATAACACTAGGAGAAACAATGTATTATTTAGAATTCCAAGAGCAGAAAAGACTCAAACCCAAAGAAGTTACTATTTATTAGCACCAAAAATTTACAGCTACATTCCGGAAAATATAAGACAGCTTCAAAGACCAAAAATATTTAGAAACCAAATAAAATCATGGCTAAAAAACCTCCCCAGACTGGTAGTACATAGCTGGATTGACCTAAAAACATATTACAATAAATAGGAAAAAATATATATATATATATATATACATATATCAAATTGTAAACTGAAATAATAGACTAAAATAAAAAAATTGAAAAGTAAAAATAAAATAAAAATACGAGCAAAAACAAATGACATTACACACATATTGATTTAGACGCTTTCACGATAATGACCCTTTACCCGATATAGACATTCTAAACCAAATTGTGACCTTTTTTCCCGATTTAGACATATCAGATTTAATTTAATGTTTAACAAATAATTATCCATTTTTTTTAGTGGGTAGGATTATAACATTTATTTTCAAGATTTATTTCATATAGTTTATAGAGAAAAAAAAAATATTGTTAAGTATTTATAAGGATTTATAGAGTAAGGAAGTCAGTATTTTATACATGTTTATACTCTGTTTTGAGGAACGTAAATTAATATTCTTTTTTTGCAAACAAGCCTCTAAGGCTTTATAATGCATGAGAATGTTTATTTGCAGTCCTTTAAGAGATATATATTAAGAAAGTATACTGTATTCAACTAGGAAACTGTTAATAAATATTATTTGATTTGATATTTGATTTGATTTGTTCTACATTTTTCTTCTGATTATTCATTGCACTATTCTTATATTCTATTTGTGTGATTTTTCTTCTTGTACAAGTTTATATAGTTTTACCATTGCGTTGTTCATACTTCTTCTTTATCTAACTCTGTTTTATGCTTCATGTTTTGTTCATTTCCATGATTGGTTTTACCTATAGTGTTTGATCATTTCTGATTTGTTTTCATCTCTATTTGATTTGTTTGCTCTTGTGTTCGTCGTGTCTTCTCTTAGAACATTTTTCCTTTGCAAAACTTCATCTAAATAGTGCCCTAAAATATTTCCCTGATTCATTTAAATATTAAATATTTTTATCACCAACGATTTTTTCAACATACAAAGCGAAAACTCGGCGTTTTAATTATTTTAATCTTGCACAAAGCAACGTCATTAGCACAAATCCCCCGCCTACATGGAAATCATTAATTTCGTTCTTTCATTAATTTTTGTGTGTGTTGCTTTGCCCGACCTCTTTCTCATTTCATAACAACAATAAAATATTTTAATCTTACACAAAGAAATTTTTTTTGAAAAATACACGAATAATTCCGCCCTTCGAGATTCATCCAATTTTGCCACCCTCTTTTAATAAGGGAGTTTAACACTACATACAAACAACTGGTACTGTTGCGTTGGAAAATTAAATAGACACAATTCAATAAACAACAAAACAACCGTTGTTCTGCAATGTGAGAATAAATTAATAAAAGAAATGTCACCCTCCGTTGTAATCGGAATCCGAAATAAATTAACCCTTACTGAAGATTAAACGAGGGGGTGTATTAATACAAATATCTTTTCTCCCCTTCTTTGTTGGTGATGCATTATTCGTCATTGGCGTAGGATAAGAACTGGACCCCTATTTTGGCAAGAATTTGGAATCTTTAGTTAATGTGATACTGTTGTAGTCCTGCACA